ACAGAGCTTTAGGTGCTCCTAAAGGAAAAGGAAGCCAGTGTTTTTTAAGTACTGGCTCTTTGCCAGGTACTTTACACACATGAGGAGCCCGTGTGGGTCATATGTTGGATTGCTAACCTCAGTGTTAGTGATTCAGGACCTCTCCCTGCTCCAGGGGAGAAAGATTAAGCTTTTTGCTCGTGGAGTGATGTACAGCTGTGGAAATCCATGGGGGTAGTTGTACTCTAGCCTATAGGGTTACAATGAGCCACAATTGATTTGATTGCGGTGAGTTTTGCAAACATCTCATTAAATCTTTACAACTCACTGAGAGATGAGCTCATCCATTTCCAAGTTACAGCTGAGAATTTGAAGCTTGGAGGTGAAGAAATCTGGCCAAGATCACAGAGCTGATAACTAGTTTTCAAACTTATGTCTGTATGACTCCAAGTTTCCTACTCTTTCTGTTCTATATCAAGAGTGTTTTAAGATATGGCACGTGTGCTGCAATTTCCATAGCGAACATTATTGATCACAATAATCCTTACTGGAATCTGGTGGAACTTCAGAATCCTTCTCAACATATTTGTGGGCTCTCACTATGACTCTGCCAGTTGGAACCTTTCACCCTGCTGTATGAGCAAACCGTTCAGCCTTCTGGCGCCGCCAGGTCATTGTTATGTTGTCTTCCTATTATTTGTTTCTATATCTCTATCACCAGGGTAGAACGCGCTGAGAAACAAGTACCTTCCCTTGTATCTTTCCCCCTCATCTCTTATCTAGTATGTATGGTAAAGGTCAGCATAAATCCAGGCCTCAAAATGTGGAAATCTAGTGTTCATTTTCTTTTTCTATCCTGCTGCTAGCCACCCCTGAGCCACTCTGTGTGAATCCAGTTCTCAAAGGTAGGCCAGATCTGGGAATTTACTGCCAAAGTCACCAGTCACCCGCTTGGGAAAGCCATCCAACAAACACCCTTACTTTCTGAACTGCTGGCTCTTTCTATGTTAAGTTTGCGGGAATGACTCCAAAATTCACTTAAAGTAGGCATACTGATGGCTACAGATTCCCTTGTGGAGTTCCTTTTCACAAGGATATAGAAAGCAGAAGCTCTTGTCGACTAGAAACACTTGAAACCTTTCCTTGGCCAGTCCTGCGTATCATGCCTCCGCAGACTCCCTGATCTTGGCCTCCCCAGGTGGCTCTTTGCTGGTCTCGTCGGCCTCCGCTCACCCTCCACAGATGTGGCCTCAACGTCCCAGACCCAGGCACTGCATCTGCTCCACTGGTTGCTTCTCTGGAGCCAAAGGCCAAGCTTACTTAGGGTAAAACCAGGTACCACATATGGCTTATGAAATGGTTTTGAATTAATACATTTATTTAAGGACTTCATCAATAGTTGTCCATGTCCAATGTTTACAAGATTGTCCTATTCTACAGAAATCACTTGAAATAAAGAAGTGAAGTCAGGAGTTAGCTAGATGAGGGAGGGAAGTCAGTTGCCTTGATGGAGAGAGGTTAGGGGTATCATGAAGAGTATAGATAGGAGACGGAGCAAGGGAAGATGACCATTAATTGCCATGGCTAAATATGGACAAAGGCTACCGTACTGAGTGTCTACAAGAACTACAGTATTTCATTTAATTATCGAAACTCTTTAAGAAAGACCAGGTTGAGGACTTAGCTTTGATAAAAGGAGCCAAACGGAGCCACTAAGATCTGAAGTCTAGCTTCAGATCAGTAGGAGCCCTGCTGGTGGTAGCCTGGGGCTGCTAACACAAGGTCAACAGCTTGAAACCACCAGCTTCTCCTCCGTGAGAGAACAGAGAGACTTTCAACTTGACATAAAACGCTACAGTCTCGGAAACCCACGGAGCAATTCTGCCCTACCTTATAGGGTCTCCATGAATCAGAATGGACTTAATGGCAGTGAGGGGGTTTTGTTTCATTTTAATCCTTGGATCACTGGTTATCACTTAGGTGAAGGAGGAGACTAAACAAGGAGTTTGGGTAACAAGGGAAAAAGTGTGAACAGGCACTGACTAAACTGGACAGAGCAGGACTTCCCTAGTGGGTTTCCAAGACTGTACCTCTTTACGGGAGTAGACCACCTCATCTTTCTCCCTCGGACCTACTGGTGGTTTTGAACTGCTGACCTTGCCATTAGCAGCCTAACCCATCCCCCGCTATGCCAGCAGGGTTTTCCCAGCACTGACTAAACTTAATGTCCATTTATTGACAGCACTCAATCTCTGGCCTTGCTCAAAGTGGTTGTCATCGGGATAATGCTTTAGCAAGTGGATTCCTTGGGTTTGATTCAAAATTAGGCTGATTTATCATAAATTCTCTGCTTTGCGATACAGAATTATGACGGGTCTAGTATAATAAGAAATCCCTGTCTGTAGTAATAAAATGTAAGCTTCTGGAAGCATTTAAAAGATTTAGAGAGAGATGCACACCAGATCTTGAGTGTGGGTAACTAAACTGCAAGTGGTAAAATGTAGACCTGAGACTTGTGGATTTATGTCATTAAGAATCTAAAATGAGACGGTAAATGAAAGACAGGTGGTATGAAAATGACCCGTGTGGTCATTCTGTGACTCTTAAAAAAGGGGGTAACTTTCCCACAAGGTGACTCACATTTAGACCACAGACATTTTCCCTAGGATTAAGTCTTGTGAATTCGAGGTAATGTCTTAGATTGGGAAGAAGCAACAAAGAGAAATTGTATGTTCAGATGTAAGCCAAACTTTTAAAATGTATGCAGGGAACGAATCCTAGTGCTGGAACTGTTTCCAGACACTGAACACCAAGCACCAGATGAAGGAAGAGAATAAGCCTCTACATGGCCTATTTTGTGAGTTTTATTTTGAAAGGACTCAAACTCACTGCCAAATTTTGACTCATAGTGACAGTATAGAACAGGGTAGGATGGCCCTTGTGAGTTTGAGAGTTTAACTCTTCAGAATTAGAAAGCCTCCTCTTTCTCCCTCGGAGCAGCTGGTGACTTTGAACAGCTTACCTTGAGATTGATTAGCAGTTCAACACATAACCACTATACCACCAGGGCTCCTGTGAGATGTATGGATAGTGAAATTTCTTTTCTCCTCTCCCTTTTTGTAAAGTAGTGCATAGGGTTGGGGAAAAGCATTGAGCCCACATTGCTCATTGCAAATCCAGTTTGCTGTGATTGTCATCAGCTGTGTGAAGTAGTGCAGCCAAAAGGCCTCGAGGGAGAATGAAGCCTTGATTTTTTTTTTTCTTATATGCCCAGCAATGCCTCACACTTTCACCTACCAAATCAATCGGGATACGGTCCCAGACACTAAGCTGAGAAGTGTAAAATTGAGCTGCATTCCTTAGGCAATCGCTACTGTCTACATGGGGTTGCTATAGTTGCCATCTGTTTCTATGTCCCAGTAAAAGGAGGCAGAATTTTTTTAATACTTGTGGTTTTCGCGTGACGAATCAGTCAAGTTTCTCCTACCCTGTTGTCGTGCAGCTATGTTAGTTAGGCGCTAGGCTTTGTTTTTCTCCTACTTGGGTGCTGATCACAGGATGGATAATCTGACCTGTCCTTTCCATCCTCAAGCTAATGGACATCTGTCAGGGCATTTATTTCCCTTGTTTTGTCTTCACTACTGCTGAGGTAGAGAGCGGTTTTCCCTTCTTTAAAGATGAGAAACCTAAGCCAAAGGTTTCAACAGAGTTTCACTGGGTCTTCCAGCTTGCCTACTTTCCTGTTTGACTCCTGTTATTTCAGATAAATGAAATAGAAAATAATAGAAGTATTGCCCACCTACAGCACCCCCCCCCCCACACACACACAGGAACCCTGGTGCATAGTGATTATGCATTGTGCTGCTAAAATCGCAAAGCCAGCAGTTCGAAACCACCAGCTACTCCTCGGGAGATAGACTAGTGTTTGATTCTTGTAAAGAGTTACAGTCTCAGAAATACACAGGGGAAGTTCTACCCTGTCCTGTAGGGTTGCTATCAGTCAGAATCAACTCTATAGCAGTGCGGCCCCAATCCATCTTAGACACTCAAACATGGCAAACCTAGGGTGAAGCCTTCTGAGAGGAGGCTCTTTCAAATACACTTTCTGCCTATATCCCAGAGAAAGTTACCCCCTCCCCCCAAAAAATCCCTTGGAAAGCATTTCAGCTGGGTGGACTTTTTAAAAGGCTGGTGACTTGGAAATTTAACTTAGAATCTGAAGATGTCACAAAGGATTAGAACACTATAGCTTTTGTCATGATAACCGAAAATCCAATTGGGGATTAAGTAAACAGTTGGAAAAAGGAGAGGTTACTGACAATAGTTATTGTTTGGTCCATAGTCTGGGGAATAGAAAGTTATGGTTCCCTCCTTGAAGAGAAAAAGCTTGTAACACAGTCATTTGGAAGTTGTTTTGATAGGCATTTCCTGAAAAAGTGACACAGCCCCATTTGGCTAGTGCGCCAGGTACTGTAAAAATTAGACAAGACCTACAATGAGTAAATTTAAGGTAATCCTGAATTATATTTTAAAGGAGATGATATTTCCTATTTAAAAAAACAAAAACCTACAGCAAGCCTGCTTATTGATGGCATGGGAGAGAATGAACATTGTGAAATAGTTTTTTACAGTTTTATTCAAAGACAACAACCCCCCCCCCCCTCAAATTACAAAACAAAACTAGTGCCACTGAGTAGAGACTGGCTCAAGGCGACTGCCTTTGGGCCAGAGTAGAACCCTGCTCCGCAAAGCTTTCGGTGGCTCATTTTCCAGAAGTTGATCTCCAGACCTTTCTTGCAAGGTACTTCTGAGTGGACCGGAACCACCAGCCTTTTGGGGAGCAGCTGAACATAGTAACAGTTGTACCACCAGAAACAATCAAGACTACCCAGTCTAACCTTAATCTCTCTCTCTCTCTCTCTTTTTTTGAGTTTAAATGCATTTTTAGACAACCTACACATGTTTTTTTTTCTTTTAAAAAAAAAGCCTCCACACCAAATAAATCAAGGTCGAAGGTAAATGAAGAGCTCACAATGGCATCTGTTTGTCTAAGTCCTGGTGTCGTGTGGATGAACAGCAGCCGGTTAGGATGAGAGGCGGTTGGTGGTGAGTTGCCACTGTGTTAACATGTCTCCATCTCTCAGCCATCCTTAAAGAAGGTCATATACGGGGTCACACCATCTTCACGGTAGTCCAGCAAAGCAAACGTGCCATCTGGATTCATGTTCTCACCAAGAAAGAACTGGTCGTTTTTGAAACTCGCAAGGATGTGCTTGATTTGTTCTGTGGTCCGTGTCATAAAAGGCTTCACTCTTTCTGGTTTCTGCTGTTCAAGTTTGCCTCTGATTGATGTCATGTCCTCTTTGATGGACTTCTTGTAGGCTTCTTTTGTGAAGCTGCTCTCCTGCAAGCGATGGTTTATGACGATATCAACACCAGTGACCACTGTGCTTCGGTTCCATCGCCATCGGGGCCTTCAGCTGAGGCATTGCCACCAATGAGCGAGTCAATGATGTTACCTTCACTCCCACTGACCATCTCCCCCTCCACTTCCAGACACAGCCCATGTGCGATCTCCCGGATCTTGTAGATGTCGGAGAACATCTCATCGTGGCTGATGAGGTCCTGGTAGATGATCATGGTGGCGGCTAGAGGGAGACAGCTAGCCTGCACTAGTTTAGGAGGAGCCCGGAGCTCTGAGCGAGCCCAGTGCAGCCTGAGTGGCGCTCTGGGGAGTGGGGAGCGGGGCCGAAAGCCTAACCTTAATCTTGATTATAATCTAGCTCCTTGGTGATTGTGCCAAAGTAATTATGTGTAAAAACATGAGATACCAAGTTAGTATTCAGCAGTGCACTTTCGAACATGATGAGAAATGCCTGAACAATAAGCTTAGAATTTTAAAAGCCAACTGAGCTATTGAAGCTTGGGAATCCATTTGAAGTCATTGGGGTATCATTATCCGCAGGCCTAGAGTTGGCCTTTGGTTCCTATAGAAATCTTGAGAGATATTTGTTGAAACCAATGAGCATCCCAGAACATGGATAACTTTGGAGAAAAGTCACTATCACTAATTGCACTCCAAACTCAAGCCAGCACAGGCTGCAGGAGCCAGTTTTATGTCTTAGTTTTACAGTGAGGTTCAAGTTTCAGTCCAGATTTAAACAACAAAGCACCTGTCTCCAAGGACAGCAGTGTAAGAAACTACAAAAGGAAAGCTTGCGGCAAATATGTTCTGTTGCTAGGTATTGAGCCTGTGCGGATGCCTGTACAGCACCCTAGTAATACTTGTGGACTCTTGGGTTCACTTTGTTTGTGCCTAGTTACTGTGAAAGATTACTGTGAAGTGCTAACCTCGTGGTTAGCAGGCAGACACATAACCCAGTACCTCATCAGAGCTCCTTTTGTGGCAAAGAGTAAAAACATAAAGCCATTGTTTTTATTTTAATTTCCAAAAGTACTCAGGTTTTGAATTTGTATACCCTGTTCAGGAAGATGGTTTGCTAAGCATGCTCCTGGTTGTTGTATAAAACTGACACTTTTCTAAATGCTTGCTCTGAAGTTTGTCATGAATGGGTAATAAGCATAATAAGCCATCACCTATGGCTTGTGATAAGAGTTGTATGAGCCCCTAATAAAATGATTAGAGAAAAAAAATAAGCCATCACCTTTTAGACAGCCACCTTTTGATAAGTACTTTGCTAAGTGATGTGGACCAAGAAAGGAATGAGTGCTTCTCCAGAAGATAATCTACGGGGAGGTATTGCCTGGAAAATGGCAAGAGAAAGGAAGCCGGAAAGATTCCCACCATAAGTAATTCAATACAGTGGAACCCGGACCTCAACACTAATCCATTCTAGACGGATCGTTAAGATGCAATGCCGTAGAGTTCTGAATCAATTTTCCCCATAATAACTGAAAACTGATTAATCCATTCTTGACCACCAAGTTTTTACCCTAACCTTGCCTTTTTATACAAAACATTACACAGAAATTTCAAAGTAAATAAGTTCAGAGTTACATAATATAATTTAAATTTGAAACATTAAAAAAGTTTTAACAACTACATACCTTGAGGTTGATGAGGATCTGGATCTGTGGACATGGATGTGGAGAGGTGTGGAAAGAGAGTCCTTGCTTGAGAATCCCCTTCCATAATATCAACTGGTCGCTGCCTTTCAGGAGTTTTTTCCCCTCTTTGCCTTTTTCCACTAGGACCTGGCTGCTTTCTCTAAAAGAAAGCTGTCGAATGTGGTCTGCTGTTGGTGTTTCCTTAACTGTTTTCTAAAAGGGTTTACTAAATTATCATCAACAATATCGATAACACAGTTAACCAGTTCCTTATCAGGATGATTCTTTAAAAAAAACTCTTAGAACCCAGGTTTTTTATTAAAAACAGTACAAAAAGCCACAAAAACTAAGAAACTTATAGCAAAACTCTTGGAACACAGCCACAAAAGGTTTAAATAACTTCTACTAACAACGCCAACTAACGCCAAGCGACCGAAACACAAACTGCTTTGTTGACAGAAATCACGTGCGTTGGGTCGGGTTCGATGTTTTGTTCGAGCTCCAATGCAAATCGTCTCCACGTTTCGCAAATCCGATTCTGTCGAGTACTGGGTTCTACTGTAATTTTTGTTTTCAGAAGGGTCTATCTTCAGAAAGTTATTGGCTTATGGATCTTCTTCCTTTTTAAAAAAAAAAACCAAAGGTGTTTTTTTTTTTATCATGAATTGGATGGAGGTTTACAGAACTAATCAGCTTTCCATTCAACAATTCATACAGATTTTGTTTCATGTCATTAATGACAATCCCCACAACGTAAAGTGACGTGCCCCCTTCCTCTCTATGTTTCCACTCCTCCTCCATTCTTAAGCCTTTGCATTTTGTACTTGATTAGACACTGCCCTTTCGGTCTCAGAGGGTTGATTATTCTGAGATGTGCCTAGTTCACTGGTGTAATTATCCTCCTTATACATCTATTTTAAGGCTGAAAATTGAGCCATGTGTGTGAGTTTGCTTCCAGACGTGCAGAATGGCTCAAGGCCCTAGTTTTGGGGCTTTCACCAGTCTCTGACCAGTAAGGCTGGTCTTGTTTATGGTCCTGAGTTTTGTTCCACACTTTTCTCTCCTCTGCCCAGGACTTTCTAATAGGGTTCCTTTCAGAGCAGTGGAGGTGGTTAGCCTTGTGGTCTCGGGCCAGGGAGACAGGTGCTTGAGTTGTCTGTGAATCCATTAGACTGTTCAGTATGGATCTGTATGGTGCCCAGTAAACAGCAGGATGAGAATTCCCACCATCCTCCATTATTATTTTAAAGAACGAAGGTTCCTCAGAGGGCTTTTCTGCTCAGCTGCCCTCCTTTCCCCTTTCCTATGAGGCCCCGTTTGGTTTAGTAAAGAGGTCTCAGCTTTCTTAACCAGCTGTTTCATAGAGAGACAAACAGCTCATCTGAGAAGATTCAGCAGGCAAGGTCTGAAAATAATAACACAGAGACGGAAAGTCTGAAAAGGGGAGTGGGGAAATAGAACTATTTCACTGTATTTTTAGATACCACCCCGGGCAGGGCAGACATAACAATGGGCCTTCGTAGCAGGGCAGCTTTCTATACTGTCCAGGGCATCAAAGTACGTTGACTGCGTGCAGGCAGACCAGCCCAGGATTTAATCACAGCCCAGGATTTAAGCTGCTAGCTCCACCATCATGTCAGGCCACGTTCAGATTTTCTTCTGACCTACTCAACAATTGACGGTGCCAGGAGGGGTGTTGATAGCATTTTATGTGTGGACTGTGGGCTCTGTCAAAAGAGGGAAAACCTACTTTCCATTGGGGGCTAGGGGGCATTGGAGGGGAGACCCTGGGACTGGTGGTGCATAGACATTTAAACCATAGCCATATGGGGGGGGGTATTTGTGGTGGTTACAGCCAGCCTCCATGCATGCAATTGTACTAGTCGCAGACTGCGATTTATGCTAGTCTCACATAACTCGAGCAGACAAATAGAAATCCCATTCCTGAAGGGCAATATAGCACTTGCTTTTCCTCTAGAGAGAGTGTCATCGCTTGTGTATGTTAAATGTGAAGAGGGTGGCGCTGTTACAGTGCATTAAATGTAATGAAAACTTCCACCCAAACATCAGGTGTTTTGTTTTTGTTTTTCCTAATTGCTGTCGAGACTGAGGGCTGGGCAGGGGCGGGCATTGTTTGCCTCTGCACTTCCCCATACCTCTCTGATTCTGATTGAAGTGTTTGCATTGTTGCTGTGGAATTGTAACTCTAGTTTTCTGTTAAATGCACGTCCTCTGTTTGGGGGGGAGGTGTCTGCACAGGGGCAGTGTGTACAAGAGAAGTCAGAGTTTTCTAGGGAAGGCTGCCATTTGGAAAAAGAGATGAGGCTCTTTTGGAGGAACGCAGGCTCTCTGTGGATGCGGTTAGCGCAGTTCCTGAAAGGCCCCCAGTGTAACCTGCCCTCTAGGGAGCCTGTCACGGACCTCGCACAGTTAACAACGTCCTTTCCCCGCTAGGATGCCTGTGTGGGGAGGAGGAAACAAGTGTGGCGCCTGTGGGAGGACCGTGTACCACGCGGAAGAGGTGCAGTGTGATGGGCGAAGCTTCCACCGCTGCTGCTTTCTGTGCAGTAAGTATCTCCCCGGGCTTGGCGTGTGACCCGATTTGTGTGGGATACGATCTAAGGGGGAAACGATCTGGTCTTGCGAACAAAGATTATTTTAAAAGCGCAAGTGGTTTTCAAGATGGTGTGAGTGCTCAGCCTAGCAGCCAGGACAGGAGTGTGACTCGGAACACTTCGGCCTGCCGTGGTAGCCCCAGAACCCTACCCTGCACACTCCTGTCACTGGGCCGTGTTTGGGGCGTCCCTGCAGAGCTGCTCTTTGAGCGCCCTGTCCTTTGTGGGGCCCGGTTCCTCTTTGTTTCTGGCACACCTTTGCTAACGAAGCTCCTCATCTGGCCCAGCTTTTCCTAGCTAGCTGGACACCCCCTGGAAACCTATGCTCTTGTTTCCTACCACGCTAGGGAGTGAGGTTGGAAAGGTTCATTCCTAGGAGCTCCAACTCTTGCCTTCTTTCTCTCGTAGTGAATATGCCGAGGTACTTTGTGGCCACTGATATTCTAAACTTGAGGCTGAGGAACTTAGGGCGGGCTGAAAATCCCAGCTAGCCAAGTTAGGAGTTCCTATTGGTACCACATTACGGAGTCTGCCTTAGCCAGGAAGTCAGACATAAAACAGCATGCCACTGTGCTCTAAGGACAGTAAATACCAGCTAGCAGAGAGACCGAACAAGCCCCCAAGCTTACAACAAAACAAAACTCGAATGACAGCTAATTCTTCCCCTTTAAACCAGTAGAGCAGCAGTTTAAGAAAGCAGCATTAATCTTACTCTTGATTCAAATGATAAGCTTTTCCTTAATGAGGGAAAGTGCCCACCGCTTTATCTGTAGGTACTTGCCACACCTATAATACTTATGCAGTAGAAATTATTGTAAGAAACGAGGTATATTAAAATCAATTTAGTTACATTAGTGAGTAGTCTTCAGAAAACACTCCTAATTCCAATGGTCCCTTCTCCCTAGGACCAGCACTCACTGACACCTTCACGGCATTACTACCTCAGACAACAAAAAGTTCCAGTCACAGTAAAATGAGGCGGATGTTGGCTGTTTCTGCCTCTTCTCAGACAGAGTTGGGTGAATATTTTCTGCACGTAGAAGTTACTGATCTTTTTTTAAGGAGTGTGTGCCAAGATTGTAACCAAGAGAGTGTCATCAAAGAGGAAATGAAAGGGCTTTTTAGGGATTGATTTTAGATCCCTCTTGGTTATGTCATAAAGTTAGCATGTACTATATTTGAGTTCTTTACTGGTCATCTTTACTAAATCAAAACCAAGTCCACTGTCATCAAGTTGATTTCGACTCATAACACCCTCTAGGGTCGTTAGACTCGCCCTCCGTCTGGGGTGTCCAAGGCTGTAATAGACGGCTGCATCTTCAGAGCGGCTGACGGGCTTGAACTGCAGCCCTGGGTTAGCCACCGAGTTAGCCTTAACCACTGGGCCGCCAGCACCCCCTGGTCATTTTTCCTACTCCTTCCTCTAAACAGTTGACTCGTGGCGTAAGCTTCTTAAGGAAACAGCTCAGTAGTTTGAAACCTCTGTGAATTTTAGTTTAGCGAAAGGGACGAGAACTAGGGAATGGTGGGTGGTTATACAATCAAATTTTCATATACCTACACTTGGTTTGGTTAAGAGATCTATTTTTCAACAATGCCAGTTTTGTATTTGTTCTGGCTGTTAAGGGCACTTGCTATTCTTCAGCAATGAGTTGTCTCAACAGTATTTACTTTTTCAGTTAGGTTCTAATATTCATTGCAATAGTCACACAGAACTCAAAATGTTCATGTTAAAGGGTTTATTAAGGAAATCAACAGATTGCAATGTGTAATGTACGTGAGAAATGCTCAGGGTATGTTACAAAGTTCTCTAAGGGCTGCTAATAAATGTGTGAAGAGCACGCCTCTCTGTTGTAAGCCTTAGACTGAAGTCCCTCAGCAACAGCTCCAGGGGTCAGCAAGCCCACTCCCTGAATTAACTGGCCAGAGGCAACAGCTCCACCAGCCATCCTCATGCCCCAAAGCACCACTGTTTCATGCTCCGACTTCTGGTGCTGCTGCTCCTCCGACATCACAGCTGTCTACTGAATCCAGGAGGTTTCCTCTGCAGGGATCTCAGGATCCAGAGGACATGGCCATTCCTGCCTCTTGGAGGAGATTCTCCCCACTTGTTGTCAGAGGGCTCATTTGATATTCAGCAGGGTGGCATTCCAATGAATCCTATCAGTGTCTTTTCCCCAGCATCTTACCCTTGGAAAAACAGATGGTTTGGTGGGAGGAGTTAGAGACGCAGGCTAGAAGAGCCACAGTAAATAATTCACTGTCCCTGCAAACAATCAATATATGGTTTTAGCTTAACTTTGTCTTTAAACAAATAAAGATGATTTTCATCTGAAATCTTAGAAACTTCATAATTTTAATTTGATTTTAAACCAACCAGTTAATCCAGTCTCCTCTTCCTCCAGTCCTTCCTTTGCATCTTTCCTCCCTCTTTAAATAAGGAAAAGGAGAAATACCCTTTTCCACTCATCTTTATTTCCAAGGGAGGGATTTCCAGTTGTCCTGATGTGCTACCAATGAGCTCCTTCATAATTTGTTTTTTCCCCAATTGAAGTTTTAGAAAATGAAATCATGTCTGAATAAAACATGATGACATCTGGCAGTTTTATGAAGTGGGATATATGGAAATGTCTCATGGCAAGAAATCCATCGAGAAGGAATGCGTTCTCCTCTGGGACAAGGGGAAACATGCAGGCGCTTTTCAGACACACTGGTCGCTGCTGGGCGGGGTGGTGCTGGGGTGACAGAATAATGCGTTTCCCCATTGTGGACTAGTGGTGAAAACTAGAATTCGGGATCTAAAACTGTTTTATTCCCTGGGGAGGGTGCTTTTCAGGGAGGAAGGGTTTCAGAAGCAGCTCCCCCAAAGGCACCCAGCTACCCTTCTGTTCTTCTTTAGGTTGTGATTTAACAACACTTGGTATGTGTTGCAGAGGACAACACTAAACCTACAGGTTGGGGAGAGGGGCCGGCCATACAGAAGCAAACCAAAAGGAGAAAGACAGCGAGCAAGGGGCTCTCTTCCCATACTGGCACACCACGCCCTGAGGGTGATGGCCCTACATGGAGCTGCTAAGACACAGAGAGGACTGTAGGGCTGACAGCAGCTCAAGACATGATGTCCCCTCACTGAAGCACACCACGACAGAGGGCGACACTGGGGACACACAGCTGGGGAGTGAGTCCTATCTGAACTACCCCCACTGTGGGGCAGACCAAGAAGGGAACATAACAGATCAGCCATGGGAGCAAAGCAAAAGCACAAACCCCCGAGGAGCCCCATAAATAGACTTTAGGCTAGGAGGGGCAGTTCCTGGAACTCCCCACCCCCGCCTCCCAGGACCAGAGGAGATAGTCATAAAGGTCTGTGGACAGACCTCGAATTACCGTATATACTCATGTATAAGCCGAGTTTTTCAGCACACTTTTAATGTAGTTTTTGTGGTAAAATTAGATGCCTTTGCTGATATTCAGGTCAGCTTACACTCGAATCTATATGGTATGTATGCTTTTGCGGGGGGTGGGGGTGGGTGGGGGGTGTTGGGGTTGTTTGTTTGTTCTCTCTTATTCAATCTTTTGTTTTCTTTTTGTTTTGTCTCTGTTATTGTTGTTTTGCCTGCCAATATAAGATAGGCATGGGAAGCAAGCCCCAGGAGGAAGCAGCAGGACAACGGGTCTGGGGGTACCTGGGGGGAGTGGGGGGAGGAGTGGTGAGCAAACAACACCATAGATAAAGGAACAACTAGGGAATTAAAAGCAACAGCGAGGAGCACGTAGGGATTCCAGTGGTGTTGGAGCAACAGCAGTCTAGCTGAGAGGAATTACCAAGAGGCAGAAGGGTGAGTGTGATGGTGGGGCAGGAGGAAGGTAAAAGGAAATAGAGGAAAGATCTAGGAAGCAAACCTATGGATAGAGGTATAAACATACATGTGCACTTATGTAAATATATTAATTCATAAGAATAGAGGTATTGACCTATGTACCTGTATTTATATGACAATACATTGAGGAAATGGACGGACTTTGGGCCTCTGCTCAAGCCCTCCCTCAACTCAAGAACACTTTGTTCTAATAACCTGGCATTCTGTGATGCTCACCTTCCTAACACAGTCACTGAAGACAAAGTGGGTGCATAAACAAATGTGGGGAAGAAAGCTGATGGTGCCCAGCTATCAAAAAATATAGCATCTGGAGTCTTAAAGCCTTGAAATTAAACAAGCAGCCATCTAGCAGAGAAGCAACAAGCCCATATAGAAGAAGCACACCAGCTGGTGCGATCATGAGGTGTTGTCAGAAATAGGTAACAGGCACCAGGAGACCCAAAACAAACATGTTGAGAATGAGGGAGGTCAGATCACAGACCCAAAACCCAACCGTAGACAATAGGACATCCCTTCCCAGAAGGGTCCCAAGGAATGGATGAGTCACCCAGGGCTCAGAATAACACTGATGCAACACACAATATTCCTCTGGTTCTTTGAGGCTTCCTCAACCCCCTGCTATCATGACCCCAGTCCTGCCTTTCACTTCATGGCTAGCCCGGAGCATGTACACTGGTACAGATAAGAGCTCATGACACACAAAATCCAGGTCATATAAACCCCTCAGGAACTGAATTGAGAGTAGAGAAGGTGAGGAAGAGGGAACCAGCCCATTAACACACACCCCACCCTCCCCGCTGCAGGGAGAATGAACAACAAATGTAGGTGAAGGGAGACAGCAGTTGGTGTACTATATGAAAACAGTAATTTATCAAGGGATCACAAGGCGGGCAGGGAGGAGCTGATACCAAGGGCTCAAATAGAAAGTAAATGTTTAGAAAATGATGGCGACATATGTACAAATTTGCTTGATACAATTAATGTATGGAATGTTATAAGAGCTCTAAGAGCCCCAAATAAAAGGAAAACAAACAAACAAAGGCCCAGAAGATTGACAGGGAAGGTTGAAGCCCTGGTAGCAAGGCGTTGATAGGACATCCTTTCATTCGCTTAATTATAGTCATCTCTGCAACTTCTCACTCTTGTAAATCGTTTGGAAGCGGGAGGCATCTGGGTGTTCACACTGCCGTGCCTTTGTGAAACAAGATAACCATGATAAAAGGCAAGTCGTCAAGTGCAGCTAAGATGCTGCCCCGATGGCCTTTGGGAAAGGACTTATGTCTTCGTAGTTGTCGACTTTGTGTCACTGCCACCGTGGCTTTTAAGAAAGCCAACATCTTTCAAACATTTTTTCCTTGAAAGACCCTGAAATATTAACTTTTTTCCCTTCAGTGGTTTGCAGGAAAAATCTAGATAGTACCACCGTGGCAATTCATGATGAAGAGATCTACTGCAAATCCTGCTATGGGAAGAAGTATGGGCCAAAAGGCTATGGCTACGGGCAGGGGGCTGGCACTCTCAACATGGATCATGGCGAGAGGCTGGGCATCAAGCCAGAGAGGTGAGTCAGGAGAGGATGTTACCTTGAGGAAATCACTTGGAACAGTTAATGCTGCCTGGGGAACAGGAACCTGGGAGTTTCTGGACTCTTAAAGTAAACAAGCAAAATGTGACTTGTGCTTCCTAGTGTGACTGATCTTTCACGCCCAAACTATAGTTCTGAACATAACACAATTCTTACTGATACGTCCAGTGATTTCTAGTCCTGGTTTCATAGCACTTCAGAGTTGATCAACGAGCCATGATTTTCTCCCCCCAAAATTACATCGAACATTACATTTTGGAACACAGATGCATGAAAACAAATGATAGAGAATTTTTTAAAAATCAATATCATGTATTTTCATGTGCTAAAGCTGTAAATGAAATTTTTCTAGTCACTGCTATGTGTTTCCTAAGAAAAAAATGTTCCTGAACTTAAAAATTCTTTCTTAAAATTATTTCTTTTTATTTTTTAAGGCACTAGCATTAAACTTCAAAGGCTTTAGTATCAAAGTGCTAAAATTTTTTGTTAAATGAGTTTACTTATTTCATATTCAAATTAAATAATTTCTTCATTTGGAATTTCCTCTTGATTCTGATTTGTTTTTTTAAAAAATTGACATTTAATGCATTTGTCCCCTAGTTAAGTTTTGCATCTTTTACATCCATTTATTTTGTAGAAAACAAAATTCGTTTAAGGTCTCAGTAGAGAAATTGGTGGGTCCCTCCTTGGGCAAACCCTTAATTGTGCTTTACAATGGGCCGGGTTCTATGCACTGTGAGCATATGTTAGCTCATGTCATCTTCCCTGATACTTTAGAAGGTTCAGTTCTCCATCTTCCTCATGAACAAATTAAGACTAGGAGAGAAAAGTAATTTGCCTAGCATCACTGTATCTAGTTCTAGGCTGAAGTCTAGAATTGAATCCTGTCAATGTACTTGGCTGCTCAAGAGGAGGTGAAAAGTGTTTGTCCACATCAAGCTACCTTATAAGACAGGCCTGGCAATTTACTTTTTTAAAAGCCACTGGAAACTCTAGGGAGCAGAGTTCTACTCTGATACACACAGGGTCGCCATGAGTTTGAATCAATTCCTTAGCAACTCGTACTGTTAACTCTAAACTATCTTAAAACACTATGCTAAATGGCATGCCTGAAATAACTATTATTGTGTATTTAGTGCCTATTGGATGTTGAATACGTTTATTTTCTTTATTTCCTACAGTAACTCTGAAGTATAGGTACTCTGTTCCCCCACTTAATAGCCAAGGAAACTAAGGCTCAGATGTCGCACAGGTAACTAGCACAGGCAGGATTTGAAAGCATGTCCCTCTGCCTCCAAACCTATGCTTTTCCCAATGTGTGGTGGGTTTAAGTAAGGCCCACCTCTCTGTGCTTTGGGGGATTTCTGTGCACACAGATTTGGGGCCCTAGTGCTTTGTGTAGCAGTTGTCCAAGGGCTGACTCATTTATAGCAAACTTATAGTTAACCCCTGGTGCTCTGGCTACCTTTGTCTTTGTTAAAGATCCATTGTCTCTGGTTATACTCTCTTTATCCAACTTGTTAAAATGAATAATTGTTTCTGAAATTGTATTTCAACCCCTTCAAAACATTTAAGCCTATATACTGTCATCCAAGCCAAACTAACTCGTTCTTAACCTTAGAGTAAGTTAATGATTGTAACCATAATTTCACAGCATTTTAACCAAGACCACTTGCAGTCAGACCCACATCCAATTTATCTGTTTCCCCCATAATGAGCCTGTGTGTTGGCCTAGGAGCCTAGGTGGCATAGTGGGTACGTATTGGGCTGCTAACCACAAAGTGGGCGGTTCAAAACCAGCAGCTCCGAGGGAAAGAGAGAAGGCTATCTACTCTTGGAAGGAGTTACAGTCTTAGAAGCCCACAAGGACAGTTCTACTCTGACCTGTAGGGTCACTATCAATCAGTATTGACTGGGTGGCAGTGAGTGAATAGACGTGTTGGCCTGCAAGACTTGCCTTTTCTCCTTCTTTGCCTTTAGGAAAAGGTATATCGACTTCCTTTATCTAGAAGCCTCTTAGTGACTCTGAACTAGATGAAGCACGTGTGGTCATAGCAGGATGGTTTAGTCAGAAGGAGTAAACATTTTCACACGGATCTAGAGAGAAACCCAAGTAGGCAAGACTATTTGGATTCATACAGACCTGCATTCTTCAGTTCAGGCTCAACAAGTTCCTAGTTCTCTAATCCTTCATCAGGTAATCTAACATCCATTGCTTTTGTTTGGATTCTGTATAATAATAGTAATGAGATGAGCACACCCAGAGCTTACAAAGTTATAAAAAACAGATAGACGCTACTTTGTGTCAAATCTTACTAACAGGTATCTATGCTAGACAGATTTGGAAATTGTTTTTGTGAGTATAAATTAATTCTGGGTAATCTTTTAAAGAATTCTTTAAAAATACAGTAAGTTATGAATTAAATATATACTAAAGTTACAGATAATTGAGGAAGGCAATTTTGTGAATTCTTACTCTGAATTATTATTCGTTACTTAGAATAAAATTTCCAGTGGCCATATCAAATGTAAAATTTTTTTTTAACTAAGTAGGTAAAAATGAAGATTATGTTCTGTGGAAACTTACATGATTCTAAAAATAGATACAGTGCAGATGGAGACATTTGAAAATAAATACAAAGTTAGTATGGAATTGTTTTTTAAAAGCCACTATTTTAAAATTAACATTTTATTTGCTCTTAAGTGCATACTTGAGAAAATAGGACATATTTGGAGAATTTTAACTGTGTAAGTTAGCATTGAATTTCAGTCAGCTGTAAAGTAAAGCTAGGTATGATTTCAGTGGTACAAACGATGTTCTGTCGAACAATGAGGGGTTGTTACAAAGCACGGCATGATTATTTAGTTGGAGAGCTCGCATCAGAGACGCCCACATTTAGAGGAGCTTAGACATGTTGTTGCTAGGGGCCGTTGAGTTGGCGTCGGCCCATGGCTCCGCTATACCCAACAGAACGAGGCCTGTGTCACCCTCACGGTAGTTCCTATGCTTGAGCTCATTGTTGCAGCCACTGTTGCAGACATGGATGCATAGATAGCTGTGTGTCAACATAGAAAGATAGGCATACACGCTTGAAACCTTGTCTGCCTTGTAATCATAAGACCACTAATAGGTCAAATAATAACTCTGGGTTCCATAATAACACTGCACCAAGATTACCTTCTCCTTTTTCTTTTCCCTGTGCTGGCCTGTGATGGCCCCCGGCCATGAGACACTGACAATTATGCCCCAGACTTCCTGCCTTGTGGATTCATAGGCAGGAGGTCAGCAGGTCAGGAGGTCATAGCCACAAGGTCAGCAGTTCAAACCTGTCAGCCCCTCCAAGGGATAAAGATGAGGCTATCCATTCCCATGAACATTTACAGCCTCAGAAACTGTGTCAGAGTAGATTCCGTGGCAGTAGGTTTAGTTTGGATAGTTGGAAACTCTTACCTAAAAGTCTTTTCTCTTTTCCACAAGTGTTCAGCCTCACAGTCCTACAACAAATCCAAACCCCTCTAAATTCGCTCAGAAATACGGAGGTGCTGAGAAGTGTTCCAGATGTGGGGATTCTGTGTATGCTGCTGAGAAGATCATCGGGGCCGGGAAGGTAAAGTGTAACTTTGAATTAATAACAGGGGGTGGTTCCTGTTCGTCCCTTTCCGTGCCCTCCAAAATTACCACAACTCACTGAGATGCACTGTTCGATGAATAAGAGCCTTGGATTCAACGCTGTAAAAAAAAAAAATTCATTTGTGAAGTGAAGCCCATTATTTGACAAATCATCTATGTTCAAAAGAAACGACACCTATGTTCGTAGGGGGAGCTCCAAAAGACTGCCAACTGAAAAGGCCAGATATTAGCAAATCTGGAATCTGCAGTTTGTGCAATGTAGTGAAGCAAGCAGTAAACTAGTCAGGAGACCTGGTGCTAATAATTGTGGACTTTGAGCACCTGTCTTCCCAAGCGATGAGCACTGGCAGTACTCTTAGGAAAATCTCCTGTGAGTAGTTTGAACTCAAATGTTTATGTGGCCAAGATTGCAGATATGGGAGACAGCCAATTCAAGCCTTCTAAATGGGACTATTTTGCCACAGTATAAGAAGGGGTACCCCCCCAAAAAAAAAAAAACCCAGATTTTTTACACCCCCCTTCAAAGCTATGTAAATTTTTTTACAAAACAACCTTATCACCTTCAAAGTACTCTCCATTACACTTAATCCATTTGTCAAATCTGCGATTCCAATCTTGGAAATATTTTTAAAACTCATCTGTTTGGATAGCTGAAAGCACGTCCCTCGTTTTTTGTTTTTCACCTCTTCTATATCATCAAATCGCTCCTGTCTTGTCCCTCTACATTCATGGAACTAAAAAGAAGTCACGTGGGGTATGGTCAGGTGAGTTAAGGTGCGTGGCTCAAGAGAGGCATGCTGTTTGCACTGAGATGACTTCGTGAGCAGATGCATTGTTGTGGCAAAACCAGTCCCCCGTCTGCCACAAATCAGGCCTTTTTGGTCACACACTAAGAGGCAATCTTTTCAGAACCTTTAAATAGAAAGCTTGATTAACAGTCTGACCTGGTGAAACGAACTCCAAATGCACTACGAGTCTACATATGCATTCATTCGGTAAATAGATGAATGTTCACAACAAGGTTTGTCATCAGTTGACATTTCACCTATTTTGAAACAAGAAAACCACTTCCCCATAGTGCTGTCCTTGTAAGCTGTGTTCAACATCACAACAGTTTCTGCCGCATTTTTCCTAAGCAGGGAATAAAATTTCACAGCCCTACACTGTTCTCCTAAATTTCCCATCACACAAAAAACGAGGTTTCCGCAAAAGTGTTTTCACAAAAAAATTCACTGTGACCAGAGAGAACCTTCCCAGGTGATTCCACTGGGTACACTAACTCACAATGCATTGCTTGGTGCTCACCTAGTGGGAAAAATGCGTACTATGAAAGGTCTGCTTAGTGGAACTTTTTTCTGTGTGTTTTTTTGGGGGGGATCTTTGAGGGGGGCATGTACACCCCTTCATATGAATTACTGCAAAAAAATCCCAGGCCTCTCCAGTATATTAATTCACCTCTTTTTCTAGCCCTGGCATAAAAACTGTTTCCGATGTGCCAAGTGTGGTAAGAGTCTTGACTCCACAACTTTGACTGAGAAGGATGGTGAAATTTACTGCAAAGGTAAAAATATTCATCATGCTTACCCATATACCTATTCCATGCTAGATATTGGTGATGGAAATATCACCAGCTTTTCTTTCTTTAGAACTCCAAAAACAGGCAAGGGCAGGTATAATGCCCTTGGTGATTTGGGAAAAAGTTCAGAAATACTTGCCAGTGGCTTTTTGTAAACTTGAGCCATTTTATATGAAACAATAAAGTTCTTGATAATCTAAAACTCCTTTCAAAACAAAATAAATGTTTTCTTTCAGCCTCATATTTTAAGCAAAGCACATGAAGATAATCTAAAAATATATACAATTTATCTTGCCCAGTTTTTATGCCTGCAACTCAGTGGACCCACAAGCTAAACACTGTGGAACCCTAGAACTCTTGAAATTGCTTTCACAACTTTTCACATGGCAGTTGATATCTTAAAAGACATTGCACAATTTGGTTTTTAACTTATGGTGGTTGGTTATAGCTAGTAAAACTTAGTGGACTAGCCTTTAACGCTCTTCTTTTTCTTTCTTAGGATGCTATGCAAAGAACTTTGGGCCCAAAGGATTTGGCTACGGCCAAGGAGCAGGGGCCCTCGTTCATGCGCAGTAAAGGTGTAAACCCCAGTACCGGGCATCACACACTGAGACTATAATGTAGGCACAGATAATCTCTCAAACTCTCTTAACACTAAACTACTGTGAAATGCCGCCAGCATTGAAGTACTGTATGATACTCTACTTAGACAGACTGGCTAACTTGTAAGAAGATAGCATTGCATCCTTTTTGCTTTTGAAGAACTATTTCCAGTTTGTCTTTTTCAGAGAGGCTGAGAGGTTTAATTTTTTACAAACCACAGCTGGTGCATACTAGGCCTGCCCTTCTTTGGCCACCAAGTCTCTGCTGACAACAACTTCTCACAGATCACTTCAGGATGAGGTCCTCAGAGAACCCTTCCCCACGGGGAGAGTATCTCATCCTAGGTGCCCACAAAACTGCCTGTAGAGAATTCTGCAATTGTTATTACCCTGTGCCCTCATTTCTATGCATGGTGGCCCAAAGAGACTGCATTTCCCTGGCCAAAGCCACTGATGTCCAGCAGTGCGCAGGTGCTCCTGGAATCAGGTGGTAGCTTGGGCTACACAGTCTCTGTTGGGGCCTCTTCAAGGTTCCCAGTCCTCATGGCATCTTTTACAGTTTAAATAAAACTGAGCTTTGTTAAGGTGTTCAATGTGTTTCAATTCATCTTTTGGAGTAACTGCTGTGATTTCACTTAGTGGAAAATCATTAGGTTTCCTACCTCTTTTATTTGTTAAAAAGAAATCAACCCAATTACACAGATGGCTCACTAGGTCAATGTTTACATTTCAGCCATAGGCAAGGATGGCTGTCTTTTTCCAGCTGCTGATAACTGTGTCCCAAGAGTGAGGCCTCTTAGCTAAAAGGCAGTACAGCATTTCCTGCCTGCTTGTTCCATTTAGCCTGGAGCACAGTTATAGTCTTAGAAACTCACAGGGACAGTTTTACCCTGTCCGATGGCAGTGAGTGAGAGGTGATTCTAATGCTTCATCTAACCATTAACAAACTTAACAAAGGAAAAAAAATGAAATCAATGAAATGGGACAATATCACAGCAGAACCAATCCTAATTAAGAAGAAAATTACATGATATGAAAAATTGATATGATATAACATGATTGTTATACATGATATAACAAATTTGAAAACCTAGGAGGAATGGATAATTCCTGGGAACACTATTGTTAGGTGCCATCGAGTCAGTTCTAACTCATAAACCCTAGGGAAAAAACCCTAGGGAAAAAAAAAGATGGTTCTGCACCATCTTCAAAATTGATCTCATGTTTGAGCCCACTGATGCAGCCACTGGGTATGTGATGTCTTAGAGAACTGGTCTAAAAATGTCAAATGTTCTTAATAAAACTAAGGACCTTTCTGGTTGTACTTCTTTCAGGACAGATTTGTTTGCTCTTTTGGCAGTCCATGGTACTTTCAATATTCTCCAGCATCATAATTCAAATGCATTGATTCTTCTTCACTCTTCCTAATTCAGTGTCCAACTTTTACATTATATGAAACAATGTTAAATACATGACTTGGGTCAGACACACCTTGGTTCTCAAAGTAACATCCTTGCTTTTCTAAAGAGGTCTTTTGCAGCAGGTTTACCCAAAGCAGTGAGTCTTTTGAACTCAACTGTTTCCATGAGCACTGATTGTGGATCCAACGAAGACAAAATCCTTGACAAATTCAATGTTTTCTCCATTTATTACAATGTAACTTATTGGCCCAATTGTGAGGATTTATATTTTTACAGCATTGAACAGTTTACAATAATAAAGTACAACCTGGGTTGTAATTCATACTGACGGCTGCAGTCCTTGATTATCATCAGCAAGAACCTCCTAGGCCACTTTCAGCGAGTGAGGTTCTGTCATCTGCATACCACAGATTGTAATAAGCCTCCAATCCTGGTGCCACATTCTCCATACAGTCCAACCTCTCTGATTATTCAGCATACAGATGGAATAAGTATGGTGAGAGAAGACAACTAATGCACAGCTTTCCTGATTTTAAACCATGCAGTATTCCCTGGCTCTGTTCCACTTGATTCAACTACCTCTTGATTCATCTATAGGTTCCACATGAGCGCAATGAAGTGCTCTGGAACTGCCATTCTTCTCAAGGCTACCTATAGTTTGTTATGGACCACATAGTCATATCTTTGTATAGTCAAGGCAACATCTTTCTGATATTTTCTGCTTTCAGCCAAGATTCAGCTGACATTATTAGCAATGATAACACTTTTTTCTCATCTTCAGAATCTGGCGTGAATTTCTGGCAGCTGCCTGTCAATGTACTACAACTATTGTTGGATGTTTTTCAGCAACATTTTACTTGCAAGTGGTGTTAATGATGTTGTCCTATCATTTTGCATGCTCTTGAGTCACCTTTCTTTGGGATGGGTACACACATACGGGTCTTCCAGTCAGTTGGCCAAGTAGCTTTCCAAACTTCTTTGCATAGACAAGGGAGTGTTTCCAGTGCTTTATCAGCTTGTTGAAATATTTCAGTTAGTATTCTATCAATTCTTGGAGTTTGGCTAATGCCTTAAGTGGAGCTTGGACTTCTTCCTTTAGTATCTATCATTGGTACTTAATCATATGCTTGAAGTGGTTGAAGTCGATTAGTTCTTTATGGTACAGTGACAGTGTATTCTTTCCCATCTTCTTTAAAGTTCGATGTATTGTTTGGGGTTTTCCCCATGCTGTTCTTGTTAGGTGCCATTGATTTGGTTCTGACCCATAGCACCTCTGTTCAACAGAACTAAATACTGCCTGGCCTTGCACCATCCTCATGTTTGGTCCTACATTTGGGTCGACTGTTGCGGCCACTGTGTCAATCCATCTCATTGAGAGCTTTTCGCTTTTTCACTGCTCCTCTACTTCACCAAGCACAATGTCTTTTTCCAGGCACGGTCTTTCCTGACACTATGTCCAAAGTATATAAGATCAAGTCTTAAATTTCAGTTGGCATGCCATCAACCTGGTGCCTTGTTTTTTGGTTAATGCTTTCAGTGCAGCTTGAACTACTTCTCTCAGTACCATTGGTTCTTGCTCATATGACCATAGAATCATTTTGCCCATAGAATCTTTCAATATTACAATCTAAACCTTGAATTTTTTCTTTTGTTCTTTCGGTTTAAGATTTCCTTTTGGTTTTCTAATTCAAGTCCTTTGAATAGTCCATTATAATATTTTTTCTTTGTCTTCTATATCTACTCTTTGGAATTTTCCCTTTGGGTCTTTTCATGATTTCTTTCATTTGCTTTAACAGCTCTATGAATAAGTGCATGCTTCAGAGTCTCTTCAGACATCCACTTTTATCTTTTATTTCTGTCCTGTCTTTAATGACCTCTTCATGGATGACGTTCTTGATGTTATCCCACAGCTTATCAGATCTTCTGTCTTTAATATTCAATGAGTCAGTCTGTTTATTCCATGGAGGTCAATAGCTGATTTCTTTCTTTTTAAACTGTTTTTCAGTTGGAAGCTATTCACTTTGTGTGACCCCTACTAGTATTTGCAACACCAGTGACAAAACCCCCAACATCACAGCAACACACAAGCCAGAACAATATGACAAGCTTACAGACAAGTGGTGGCGACACACACATTACCTAACAAAAGCAACACAGACTGATGTAGAAAACCTCGACAAACCTATAAACCAAGCAGAAATAGATCTGGTCAGTAAGAAATCTCTCAACATCAAAATGTTTGGGGCCAGCTTATTTTACTGAGTAATCATTTAAATAGAGTTAAAACCAATCCTACATAAATTATATCAGAATGTAAAAAGGATAATAGAGTATCAAAGTCATTAAGCAAGCATAACCCTAATACCTGAACCCAGCAGAGACATCACCAGAATTAAAAATTGTAGAACAACATCTCTTATGAATATAGACTCCAAAAATTTTTTAAATTTGAGCCAACAATTCAACAAAACGTTGAAACAATATAAGCATGATTCATACCAAGTATATAAGGATTGTTCAATATTAGAAAAAGTCAATGTAATCTGCCACACAGATGATACAAAAAGATTCTTTTGGTTATATCAATCAATGCAGAAAAGGAATTTGATGAAATTCAAAATTCATTCTTGATTAAAAAAAATTTAATAAAATAAGAATAGACAGGGTGGTCTTCAACCTAATAAAATCATTACATGCAAAACCAACAGCTAACATCACAATTAATGGAGAGAAATGGAAAACATTCCCCCTCCAAATGGGAACCAGACAGTGTTGCGCTATATCACCACTCCTGTTTAATATAGTCCTGGAAGACTTATCCAGAACCGTAAGACATCAGAAAGATACTAAAGGCATCGTTAGTACAGAAAAAACCAAAATTCTCTTTATTTTCTGGTGACATAATTCTAAATATAGAATTCTAAATATAGAAACCCCCAAAGATTCTGTATTAGTCTGGATACTTTAGAGAAACAAATCCACAGAAACTCATGTATGAGAGAGAGTTTTATATAAAGGTTAAGTGTGCATCAAGAAAACATCCCAACCAAGTGCTGTCCAAGCCCACAAGTCCAACATTAACCCATATGTCCAACACCAGTCCACAAAGTCCTCCTCCATCTCACAAAACAGACACAATGATGCCGACTGCAGTAGGAAAGCTGTCAGTGAATGTGTAAGCATCTCACCACTAGCAAGGGTCTCCACATGGGTGCTCCAGCACCCAGGGCTGTATCAGGGTAGGTCCATGTGGCTTCTCCTCAGGGATGTCTTGCAGGAAGTGAGCCTTGCCAGCTAAAGCAGGGAACTGGCTAAGGCAGTTGCACCCTGATCCTACCATCAGAAAACAAGAGACCCGAGAACTAAAAAGGCGAGGCTCACTGAGCCATTTATCCCTCCGCCCTTCAATTAACCCCACGTGCTTATCAGCCAGGTTGGCACAATATACTAACTACCTCAGATTCAATTAAAAATAGTGAAAGTGACCATTTGGCAATGTTATAGATTGCCAAATCTATAGCAGGCTATAAGATAATAAAAAAATTAATTGGATTCTTATATATTGAAGAAAAGGACTCTAAAAAAGAAATTAAAAGAAAAATACCATTTACAGAACTTCCCAAAAGAAAATACTTAAGAATAAATCTAGTCAGAGAAGCAAAAGACATATAAAGAAGACTATAAAACTCTGAAGCCAAAAAAGACTTATGCAAATGGAAGAATGTGTCATCCTCGTGGATTAGGAAGACTTAATATAGTGAAAATGTCAATATTACTGAGAGCATTCTATAAATTCAATGAAATTCAGATCCAAGTACCAGCATGATTCTTCAAAGAAAACAAATCACCAACTTTATATGGAAAGAAAAGAAGCCAGGATAAACAAAATACTACTAAAAACCAAAAATGTAGGGGGCCTCTCTCTGACTATTTTATAGCCATGGTAATCAAACAGCTTGGTATTGCTACAAAAATATATATGTAGACCAATGGATTAGAACAATCCAGAAATACAACCAAGCAACTACAAAACACATTGAGTGGAGAGGAGATAGCCCTTTCAATAAATGTCCCTAGAAAAACGGGATTATCACCTACAAAAGAAAGAAACGGGGCCAATACCTAATACCATGTATAAAAATGTACTCAAGATGGATTCAAGATCTA